TTACGTAAAGACAATGGACCAGATTTTTAAAAGTATAGATTAAAAACAAATTAAAAACACACGTAAAACTAACAGTAAGTCAGAAAACTGGTTACTTTTATGTGGGAGAAAGTACAGCCAAATATTATGCAAACAGTTCAACTTTAAAGTGGTTAAAGGTTTTGGCACTGCTCTATTCAGTTGTAAATGGTATAATTTCTTTGTCAATGTTTTTGTATTTCTTATTTGGCCGATTAGTAACATTTATACCACATCAGTCAAAATGTACAGATTTAAAACTGATATTTCTAAGCAAACATTTACTGGTTGTAAATCCTAGAAGTAAGAAAGAGAATTATTATGCAAGCAGTTCCTCCTATATTGTAGAATGCACTGATTTTGATTTTTAGCACTACTTCATGTCACTGAGACTACAAGTTATAAAAAATGCATGATAACTTTCTTCTTCCATGATATGAAGATGAAATTATTTAGTTAGATCTACATCGTCTTAAAATTTCAAAGGAACTTAGGTATAGGTGCTAAAGTTTTTAATAGCAGTTAATCTGAGTGCTTTAATAACCCAAAATGTGTTTATGCAGCTCGCACGCGCACACACGCACACTTTGGCTTGGTGGTGCTGCCTTGGAGAAAAAACATGCTCTGAACTGGGCCAAAAGTTAATGAGTTCAACACCCACCCGCCAAAAACAAAGTCTTCTAACCAAACGTGTTTAAATGAAAACCATTTCTGCCATGGCAGTTCAGCTAGCCCTGAGGTGTGCTAAGACAAAAACATACTGAGACCATTCTAATGTACTTGAGGATTTGGAATTAAAAGAACACGAAGGGATGGCTAAATGCAAATCCAACTGAAAATGCAACTGATGGTGCAATCTTTGCTGCAGGGCAGCAAGAAAGCTTGGGATGCCTGCTGCTAAATCCAAATATGTCCTTTTCTCATATAAAAAATATGGTAGTTCCCTGTAGACTCTACTAAAGCATGAGTAGGGATAGAAAAGGTGAGATGAAGTCCTTCCATGGAGATAACTGCAGGAGGGATGAAGAAGGGAAAAGGAACAATGAAATTCCCATAGTTTTCTTCAGAGCTTTCTACCTTTGGAGCATGTTTGCAATGTCAAAAAAGGCAAGGAGTGTAGCCTGTCAAACCCTCAGTGGGCTGCTGCCCACTGCCATATGGCTTCTTCCATCAAGTACAACATTTCGCTTTCAGAGACTGGTTCAAGTTTGAAATCCAAGTAAATACTATTACATTGTCCCTTGTCTCCCTTACATAGAGGCCAAACCTCCAAAAACTTGCAGAAGACTGCAGAAACAATGTCCTGGTTCCCAGGTACTAGAGGTTTAATCTTGAGCATCTAAAACAAATTCATAAAACTTGATAAGAGGATAAAAACACCTACCTGACTAAATGGGAAAAGCATAGAAAAATAAGTCTTTGATCACTGGTCCCACATTCAGAAACACATCTGTTCGTGTTTTTTTTTTTTATTACAGAAAAACATTAGTGTGTGACTGATTGGTACAATACTGCCACATCCAATTATGAATTAAAAATATGTATCTGATGGTTTTCTAGGGATAGAGAATTTTAATAGCTATGGTAGGAGTACCAAGAGTAGTCAAATTTTGAATTGCCATATTTGGTACAATCTTTGAAATTGCCTTTAGACCCTTTAAGTCTAGACTGTGTGTTACAATAACTCTAAACTTATTTCTCAGCTCTTAAGTGAAAGAAGATGTTTGTTAGCTCTCTACTTGAAAAAGAAAGAATCCTGAGACTGCTTAAAAGACTCTGGTAAACATGTCAGACAGTTTACAAACAATACGCGTTGTAGGGATTTTAGAATTTGTGCAGAAATTCTTCAAAAGGAACCAAGAGGTTGGATAACACAAACTGATTTTTTAAAATATATTTACAGTCTTTCACTGACCCTCACATAGACTTCCATTTTCTCAGTCTCCCTTTGATATTTTACATACCATCTATTTATTTATGCAAATCCAGTCAATGTAATTTGCCCTCACACTGGTCTCTCTTATGCATATTTTAGGTATTGTGCCCACTATTATTGATAATACAACTAATAGGATACCGACAGAAGATATGAAAAAGATCTTTGAAAAAAAAAAAAATCAAGCAAAGTAAACATACCAAATTGGGGCTACAAGAGGGAACAAATAAAAATTATTAACAGAAAAAACTTTAAAAAAAATTAATCCTCCTTCACAATTCAGCAACTTTCCCTATGGTTATTGACAAAGAACTGTATCCTAAAGTGTGGATACCATGTTTTTTCAATAAACATAAAAAGTTTATTAAAGAATCCCAAGTAAAGTAACCTACATTTATGTTTCATACATGACTCATCACAGACTGTACACAGCAAATTTACACTGGGAAATACAGACTTATGATCCTGTAAAACAAGGCCAGGCATACGGGGGGAAAAAAGTGTTTAGGTTCTTGGTTTGTCTGGGGCTCCCTACAGCTCTGTAAATGGAAAAGCTGTACTACAACATAGCCCTTATGTCTGCTGCCTCTTGTGTGCCAACTTCTTCATTGATAAGGTTTCCCGGAGCTAGCGTTTCTGGTAATCAAATGTGTGGTGCCTTTGACTGCTTCTGAAGAGTTTAAGTAGTACATTTTACCACAACTTTATTTGGGAATCCTAGTAGAAATAACTTAAGGTGTAGTATAGGAGCTCCTTTGTAACACTGCTCATTTGTTAAGCCATTTCCAAAACTGTTTGATCTTTGGGCAGTTACACCAAATATGCATAAATAAGCCTCCTTAGATCATCTGCTACAAAGATTTGGTCCTGGAGCATGAACTCTTTTCAGTATTTCAGGATTCTGATACAATAAATATATACCTGTGTAAATAAATCTAAATATAATTATGGAAGAATAAACGGTTGCAGCTCAATTCTGACCCTGCTGCTCCACTGAGATTTGATGTCTAATGGTAGTGTCTCAAGAGTCTGTACATTCTCTCTGCACTTAGTCTTTGCTTGGTATATGAACCTGCCCAGGGGGCTAAAGTCAAAGCCTTGGAATTATTACAGCCTGTGATCAAAGTTTCTAATGAGTTTAACTGTCTTTTTATTTATTTATTAATTACTGCATGTATTTTTATCCTTCAAAGTAGCATTGACAAAATGTTAGCACCAGGGCTCCAATGCTGTCTTAACTTGTCAGCTAAGATCTTGCTTATTTCTCCCGTTAGCTGTTCTCAGTTATATATACCCTTATCCCCTAAATCACAAATCGTCCCTTTCTCTCTCAGGCCAATGTTCTCCTCTTGCACTAACAAGGGTATATATTATAGCTAAGTTTTGCTAATTGAGAGGAAAAAGCCCCTTGAGTGCTATTTACCCAGACATTTGAGACACCATTTGCATTAACTGTGAATCCCCCTGGCTTGCTCCAATGTTCCTCCATTTTCACCTGTTATGGATTAGTGCTGAAATGGAGTTTCAGGCACAAAAAGGGGCTGCTTTGCTGCCAGACCCCATGGCCAGCCCACTAAAAAGAATTTTAGCACTAGTATTTACCAAGTGTCACGAGTCTCCCAGCCTCAAGTGTGTGAAAAGACAAATATCAGTTATTAAGAATGGAGACATTTTAAATTACCTGATTATTAGTTTTCTAGGTACAGTGTTGCTCCAACTTCCATTTTTCAATTTCAGATTGAATTAATTCAATATGAATGAATGATTAAATAACAGAATAGTATGTGGGTGTGTGCAGGTGAAAGACAAAGAGGGAAAACTGGTTAAGACCTTCACCTCTTCACACACAGAGGTGCTATCATTGATATGCACAGAAACATGAAACTGTCATGCACTTTTGATTGCCTCACCTGCACTGTGCTCACTAATCTATGCAGGATTCATAATAATATATCAAATACTCAGGCAGCTTTTCAACCCCTGCTCCAAAGATATTCCCTTCAAGAACTACCAGAGTGAGACATTTCACTCCTACAGCTACCTTGGCCTGAGGCCCAGAACAGGTGATATTCAATCCTAGACAACCAGGTGTTTCTACATATAAAAATATAATGGTTTCAAAGACTCTCTTGTGGCCCTGCAGAGCTAAAGCCTTTTCACACCATCAGAGAAGGAAAGAAATTTCCATGTTTCCTTGACAGATCCAACAGTCATTCCCACCCCTGCAGATCCTGCAAAGGCAGTGTTTATATACACATATTTAAAAGCTAGGTCAGGTTATATTAATGACTTCCATGGCTCCATTTGAACCTTGGAATGAATGTATCAAAGACATTTGTAGGCAGAAGGATAAGAAAAACAATTCTATTAAAAAAACCTTGCAAAACAATTGCACAAGAATACCCATAACCTGAAACATGAGCAGAACCCAATATGGTGTCACATGATATGAAGATTTTTTGTCATAACTTGCCTAAGTCACTCGTGATTTTGTCACTTAGGAGTAACATGGTGTGGCCGTTCCATTCTGTATATATCTTTTTCTCTTTTCTCATATACAGAAGCCTGTGCTCTTATAGGTACTTTTCCTCTAACTGCAAACAGCCCCTCTGCTGCATTCAGTGAGCAGATGGTCAAGAACATCATCCTGGGAGGGAGGGGGCAGTGGGTGTGGGATAAATCAAGACAGCAGGTGGAGCAAAACAAGGGTCTAGGCCTATTCCCTCCCTGCTTCAAAACCACTCTGCTTTCCATTGGCTAGGATAGAGAACATGGGAGGAGGCGGCAAGTGATTGGCTGTTGTATGCCCTTTTCCTTCACACACTTAAGCTTACCTGGATGTCTTTAAGGCCTCTGGCTCACAATATCTGCCCTGGCCTTTTGCCCCTCAGCAAGGAAACTGTCTCTTATGATGGGGCTCAACATGTACTTGCACATAGAAATGTATAAATATAAGCAGTTTTACAACACTTGAAGGAAAGCTCTTTTCTTTAGGAACACTGATAGCTTCAATACTTAGTAAACAATAGTGATGTTGTCTACTTACCCCCACCAGCACTTCCTTCTCTCCGGCCACGTGCACTGCCATCTCTGCCAGATTTAACACGCTACAGCAACATGAAACAGGTTTGAGGGAACAAAAACCTTATTTAAAATAATTATATTAGAGCTGATTGCTGAAAACTCAGAAATGAGTTTACTGCTGCAAATGGCAGAAAAACATTACACTGGGTGTTAATTACAGTAGTAACTAAGAAATCTTATTCCTTCAGTGTAAAAACCTACTTTTAAACCCAGTCTAAAATACGTTTACACAGAACTAATGAAGTTCAAACAAAAACTGTCTGTGAAATATGTCCTTTCAGATAACACTTGTATGAGAAAGATGTGTAAAAACTGCTTTGCATGAAGCTTTGGGTAACACAGTTGAAAAAAATAATCAAGCTATACCCGTTGTACTAGTCCAGAGTAGTGTTTGTCTATTAAGATCTTGGGAATCCAAGGACAGTTTTATTTATTTTTACTTTATCTTTACTTCATTGTAAAGTTTCAAGTTGGGGGAGAAAAGAAATATTTATCCCATAAATCTTACATTCCTAAGACTTGGCATTGCATTACGCCAGGAAAACATGCTGGTGAACATTAAAGTTTAAGATAAAATTCATGGCAAAATATCTTGGAAACTACATTAGAAATTGGCTTTCTTGGAATGAAGAAAGTACCTTAACCATCTTCCAGGTGTGTTATTTTTAAAGGTCTGTTTTAACCTTAATTGTTTTATCAAAGCAACACATCTAGAATGGCCTTCATTGTGAAATTTCAGTTTTCTTGGGTGTGTATCTTATGAATTACAGAAACTATAAATCTTAGTAGGGAGCACACATGTTTAGAGCATTTATTTCTTAATTTAAAAAGTCAGGAAGAGTGGGCAGGCAATGGGAGGAGGGGGATGGAGGGCCACAGTTTAGGGTTAGGGAATCCTGACCCCTGCTTGAAAAGTTCTGCCTCCATCTCCTACTGTTCAAACTTGACAAGTGCCCCTTTTCCCCCTCTTCCACACTGTTTGGGATGGTTCAAGTGGGATTATATCACACTACATGTAACACATGACACTAGAAACCTTGGTGCTCTGGAGAAGTTGCTATTGGAAAAGGCTAGCATTCTCTGGTGGAATTGCCATGTTTTTTTCTTTACAAACCACTTGTACACTAGCTTTCTGCTATACTAAAAGGATGCATGTCGTACTAACAATGTAATGCCTACCCATGGCTTAAGTGAAATACCAAGTAGAAATGTTAATGTTATAAAAATATATAGATTACAAAAGGAACATAATACCATTACTTGTGGCACAAGGTGAAACATTTCCACAGGGAATAAAAACCACTCCACAGATGTTTCCAAAGCCTTAGCTAGAAGAATTTATGGGCTTGTCAACACTTGGAAAGTTACAGGAGTAACTATTCCAGAATAGTTATATTCAATATTATTTTGGCATTAGTGTAGATATCCTTATTATGAAATAAGGACATCCACAAATGGAATTATTCTAGAATATTTATTTCAAACTAGCTATTTTGGTAAATTTCCAAGGACAGACAAATACTTAGTAAAAGGTATTGAAAAGCTGGGCAAATTCTACCAGCACTTGTCTGTTTATTGTTTTACCACTGAGTGCATACTAGGAAAGATTTTCAGCCAGTTTGGAAACAATGAGGAAGGGAAACTGAGCTGTTTAAATTACTGCTAGAGTTGAGAGCAGAAAGTGATATGTGTCTTTCTTTGCTGACTGAAAGTCAGTGTTGACTTGAAAATGTAAGCAGTGAAATTGGCATTTTGCAAATATGACGAATTTCAGAGCTACAGATCTTTCAAGGGGACTTATGATTAAGATGCTTACTGGCAGACTTGATAAAAATGTTCTAGAAACAAAAATACCTAGGAAATGTCAAAACTGGAAGTGTGGTGATAGAACTCATGCATCTAGATAAAAAATAGTGGAGAACCCAGAGTCAACCCAGCAGAACAGAATTGCAGAACTACCATTCATAAGTAAGTACTGGCATTGAAATTCTTGTGAAAGAAAATAATACCAGTTTCCTTCGTAAAACAGTACTTTGCTGGATAGCTACAAAATGAATCAGGAGCCGATGCCCTTATTTTGAACTGGTTTGTTGATTCTGTGACCGAATATGGAGTAATGAGATACCATTGACATTCAGGTGTAACATTCCAGACATCCCAAATGGCTTCTCCAAGTTTTGGTTAAAGTGATTATCATAACAGTATAAAATAATATGGTTTGTACTACTCTAAGAGTACTACTCCTTTGATTCAGAGGAAAACTATGCTATTCTGAGGTCTATTTCTTAACTTTCACTAATTTAAGCATTAAGTCAATTTAATTATCACTTTTCTAACACCACTTATGTGTTACTAAATATCAATTCTTGAACAGCAAATCTAAATAATTCAATAATAAATATTTTACTGCATGAGTGAAAAGTCAAAAATGCCAAGAAAACTCAGGTTTACGTAAAAATAAAACAAAATTAAAAACTTTAAAAAATTGTACTTTTGATGTCAATACTATAAAGGAAAAAAGAACTTATCTAAGGGTCATTAATGCTTGTAGGTCTATGTTGTAGAACTAAAAATCCAGAGGGGCTGGAACTGTATACAAGCGAGTATTTAGCTCTCCAACACCATGGACCTCCATCACTTCAATTAAGAATTAAGTCAGTTTCTAAGCAAATTTAAACATTAACTTTTCCTTAGTAAAGTTTGTCAGTTCTGGCATGTTGTGTCAAAATGGCTAAGAACAGACACCGTACTTGTCTCTGGACAAGTTGTACCTGTATTTGTTCCTAAACAGAAATATCTTGGGATTGGTGTGTACAAATATAATCTTTCTAATCAGGGTTTAGTGAGCAGCTGAATACAGTGATGCTTTTTTGCCATTAATTCAGTGATGCAATCCCAAAATAACCATTCAGATACACTTTGCAATGTCTTAGAATAAACTGTTAGTACTTCTCATCCTGTGAATCTTTGTCACGGAGTGGGGCCTGCGAGCGGCCGTAATCCCGCTAGCGCCCCCTTGCTGTGGCAATTAGGAGATCAGCACCCTCGGATTCTCGCCCGCCACGTCTTTGTTCTTATTTAAGGTAATATGGGAGGCTGCCTATGATCTCCTGCTATTTAAGGGTGACTTGGTGCACCCCCAGCCTTATGGGCTATGCGTGCCTCCTACCTCCCCTTTAGCACGCCCCAAGCCTCGCAGCTGTTCCTGATGTTCTTGTGTCTCCCAGCTTCCGCTAGCCCTTCCCGGGCTTCACTTTTACCGGCTGGCCCCCCCCCAGGGGCCTAGGCCACGGGCTTCCCA